CCCGCCGCACTGCAGTCCGTGTTGTGCACCTGTTGGGCCAGGACGAGACCCTCCGCGGACAAAGTGCGACGGACGCTTCTTACCAAGAGTGCGCGGGTTTGGCTGCTAATTAACCATCAAAAACAATCAATTGTGCACGTTTTGCGTTGTCATTGTTTTCTGTGTGTCAGGCACGGATGCAGTAGTCATGTATACATAGAAATCGCAATGTCGTAATGTTGCATCTGGTGTTTCTGACTGAGAAGACACCGCGGAATTGGGAGATTGCCTACATTCTGAATAGACGAAATGCAATTGTATTCCGCAAAAGCGTCTTCATATTTTCACTACGCTTATTTTAACTCTTGTCTTTCTTATGGTTCTCTAATAGAATATCAACTTCTTGAAGTGTTGCCGATGGTATTACCTATGTTGTTGTCACATCTTGCGTCAGTGTTTGTATGCTTCAGATACTTTTCCTGTTCTCTCAGGAAATAAAGCTGAATTTGGCGTGCCTCCAGATACTGTATACAGGTCCCCTGCGATCGGCCTAAGTATGAGATGTTTATTATTGGCCATTGCAGTTTGTCTTCGCGCAACGGTTTGTTGAGGTGCAGTTCATTTACATCGCCAGGGCTCCACTCTTTTGTGACACATTGCAACATTACGTGGCAGGTAGACGGGTCAAGCGGCGGCGGTGGCACAGAGGGACCTGCTCGTTGTGGACAGGTTTGGGAACTGCGACAACTCGGAGCGGATCGCGCCCTTGATAAGTGCAGAAGTCGTCACCTTAAAGCCTGGGATCACCGTCGTGCGTGCCTCCGCCAACATATCCAAGGAGGTCGATCAAAACTTGGTGAGAGAGGAGCGAGACCAAAGAGGCTGTAGGGGTGAAAAAAACGGGGTTGGGTACACGGCGAAAATAACTAGTTGGAATTACCGATGAGTTGTCTGTTTGTGAGCTCGAGGTGGAGACGTTTATCTGCGACATCCAAGCGCACGACAGCTGCGTCCAATTCCTCAACTGGAAGAAAGACACTGGAGTCTGTGCGATGGCGACTGCGAAAGGCATGCTGTGGTCACCTCTTTTCAACGTTCGACCTCCGCTTCGTTGCCCAGTGATTGCCAAGGTCAGCATACAGTCAATCAGAACGTCCCTTTTAAGGGGCCCCTAATTATAGCGATTGTGTACTTCAAATTGTAGGGCCTCTATCATATCGAGAACGGTACATTCGACATGAACAAGATGCAAATGATCTCCTTGCCAAAAAATAAGTACGTTCGCATCAAGATTTCAACGTTCGCACCGAAGAAAATACCGTACCTTTGCGTCATCATGGGCGGAATCTTCAGATCGGTCAAAGTGTGAATAATGTGATTTCCTTCGTGACGAAAAGCTATTTAATTCTCTTCTCATTTTCAAAAAACACACATCTACAGAACGGACAACGTTACTGTTTTCTTTACCGGCAGAACCCAACTACAATGCGTAGAAACACGGGGTATTGTAAAATGATACGATAACTACTTTGAAGCTCACCTCTCTCTGCCGCGCGCGCGCGCGCGCGCGCGCGTGTGTGTGTGTGTGTGTGTGTGTGTGTGTGTGTGTGTGACACACTCCAGTGGCGCGTCCAGGCGCGGCATGGCGAGGCCCGAGGCTTGTGCCGAGGCGGTGCCGCGGTGCCGCCGTGCGGCGCGACCCTCATCGTGCGGCTCGCCAACCTGCGGCCTCCACTTAAGCGGCTTACTAAAATTGTCCGTCGCCCTGCGGTTCCCCGCGCGCGGCGACCTTGCCTCTCACGCTCCCACACACACCCACGCACACACTCGGCGCCGCCTGGGGGCGCCTTGTAGGAGCGACAAGGACAGTGACACGCGAGCATCCTCTCCGTCGCCGCCGCGGCGCGCGGACTTCCCCCGGCCCCGGCGCGGCGCGCCCAGGTCACACGGTGGGGGACCCGGAAAGGAAAACCGATAATGTCGCGGAGCTGGAGGTAAGTAGCGCGCGGAGCGGGGCGGAGGCTGCGAGGCGCGGGGGAGGCTGCGCAGAGCTGCGGGGCTGCGCGGGCGCAGAACAAGGAGCTCCGGAGAAATCTTTGTGGTAGTGAGAGAATTACAGCGCCCATGCTCGCGTGCCCTGAGAGCAGACGACGACGCGGAGAAATGGCTGGGAAAATCGCTTCGGCTTCATTTTTTTTTCGCCTCCCTTTCGGCCTGGTCGAGTAAGCGGAAAGAATACAAATCACACTATCGACGGGTTTTTTCCCCCTCGTCATTTCTCCTCTTGGCACTGGGAACGGAAAAACGGGTGCGGTGGTTGCGTTTTGCGGCGAGTGGGGAGGCAACCCGTTCGTCCGAGCGAATAGTACAGCAGCGTGCAGGAGGGGGCGGGGGGGGGGGCAGCGGCGCAGCCCAGCAGCACGTTACGCACTGTCCAGAACACGCCCTGATGTTACTTACTTC